ATGGGATTGGAAATGAAGATGGTGGAGATGGAGGTGAAGAAGGGAATGGGGATGAAAATGGTGGAGATGGAGATGAGGATGGCAATGGGATTGGGAATGAAGACGGGGATGGGAATGAAGATGGTGGGAATGAAGATGGAGATGGGAATGAAGATGGTGGGAATGAAGATGGTGGGAATGAAGATGGGGACGGGAATGAAGATGGTGGGAATGAAGATGGAGATGGGAATGAAGATGGTGGGAATGAAGATGGTGGGAATGAAGATGGGGATGGGAATGAAGATGGTGGGAATTAAGATGGTCGGGATGCGGGTGAGGTTGGGAATGGGGTTGGGAATGAAGATGATGGGTATGGGGATGAAGATGGGAATGGGTCCCCACAAGCACCAGCCCCAGCACTTTCCCTTCTCACCACCATACAAACGCCGAGGGAAGCAGCACTGCCATGGCCGGCTGTTCCCACGCTTCCCCACTGGGCAATGCCACACCCCGGCTTTTCGGGATCCTCCTTTTCCCAGGGCAGCTGCCAGGGTGTCACCATCATGTCCAGCACAGCCAGAGGCACTGGGAGCCGCCGTCCTGACCCTGCTGTGCTGGGACCTGTACGGACACAGGCACCGAGGAGTCATTTCCGTGAATTACCGCCCTTTGGGTGCTGTTACTCACCTGCTCCTATTTTTCCCCATTTCCACAGGGAATCTGACCTGTTCCTGCTGGATGTCCAGGACCTGCGTGCTGGGACCGAGGGCTGGCTGGTGTTTGATGTCACGGCTGCCAGCAACCACTGGTTAGTGGATCGGAAATACAACCTGGGGCTGCGACTCTACGTGGAGACAGATGATGGTGAGTGCTCCCAGCCTACCTGCAGCGTTTGGGGCCAAATCCCCAGGAACTGGAGCCCTTTTATCCCCTCTTGGTGCCACGGTGGGTGACAGAGGGAGTTTGGCTCACCATAATTTTAAATTTCCAGCTGTGTGGGCACCAGGAGTTGGCTGGATTTGCAGGCAAACCCTGATGGTGAAGTCTCCCAAAGGCATTAATGTTAATGGGGTTCCTGGTATGGGCTGTAATAACCCCATCAGCACTTAATGAACTTCTTACCTGGAGGGATCCTCTTGTATGTGCCGGGATATTAACTCTCTTCTCACCAAGGGGTCAAATTTGCTCCAAAGGTGCCATTTGCAGATGCACAAGCACACAAAGAATATCTCCACTCCCATGGAGGGGGAGAAATTGCAGCAGTTGATGCCACATCCATCCCCCCCATTGATGCCACATCCATCCCCCCGTTGATGCCCCATCCATCCCCCCACTGATGCCCCATCCATCCCATCCCAGTGCACCAAGATTTCCTCCCTAGTGGTGAAGGGGAAAAAAATCAGTTGCTTGTGTCTCACTTGGTTTTAATCTTTGAATTGCTCTCCATGTCCATGGTGTGGTGATGGCCATGTAGTGCCCATCATACACCCACCCGGGCCGGGGGGGGAAGAGCAGAACAGGAGCCCCGGGAGGAGTCCACCTTCTCGGGATGCCAAAGGCACAATTCTCCACTGCAAATTTCTTGTATTTTTTTTTTTCTCCTTGCTTTAACCAAATGAGTTCATTCTGAGAGCAAACCGACGTGTGGTCCTGTCCCTGCAGGGCACAGCATTGACCCAGGCTCGGCGGGGCTGCTGGGGCGCCGGGGACCCCGCTCCAAACAACCCTTCATGGTGACGTTTTTCCGAGCAAGTCCCAGCCCCACGCGCGTTTCACGGGCGGCCAAACCCCCGCGGAGGCGGCAGCACAAGAAGACAAATGACCTCCCACATCCAAACAAGCTGCCGGGAATTTTTGGTAAGAGTTTTGTGAGGTGAGAAATGATCCCTGTGGAAAAACACCACGTTTGCTGCTGCCACGATCGTGGGACCTTTTGTTATTTCCTTGTCTTGCAAGCAATCCTGATTTTGGCCCAAAAACTCACCCCTGGGGAGCAGAGCTGGTAGCCCTGGGTTTGGAGGATTGGGGTTGTTTGGAGTCTGGGAGGTGCACTGGCTCTGGGGTGGGTGACCTCGAGGGGACAGTGTTCTGTGGGGTTTTTGGGATACCTGAATATTGAACTTTTTGCATCATTTCCCTCAGTTTTGAAGCTACCCTGGGATGGCATCACCTTGGGAGGGTGTCACAGCCCTGGGAAGCCACTTGGACAGGAGAGGAGTGAGAAGCCCCAGCTTTCCCAAACCCTTTTAGCTTGGGAATCCCTCAAAGCCAACTCCACCCTGAGCAGAGCTGGGATTTAGCCCTTCCCAGGCTGAATTCCCTCGTCCCAGTGTTGGAGCAATAATTTTTAAGGGCTGGTTTGAAGCTTCTTTCCCTTTGTGCAACCACAGAGGCTCCTCTTTTGTTCTTCTGGACTGACCCTGATCATAAGGGCTGGTCAGTCCCACCCTTGGGTGCGATGGCAGCAGCTGGGGGGTGGTCAGGACACCAGGACTGTGGGGCTGACGCTGCCTGTCCCCTTCTCCCACAGACGATGTCCACGCCACGGATGGGCGACAGGTCTGCCGACGCCATGAGCTCTACGTCAGCTTTCAGGACCTTGGTTGGCTGGTACTTGTCTACTGGGAGAAGTAAATGTAAAAAGAAACCCCAACATCCTCTCCCTGGGCTCTGTCCCAGCTCAGCTTCTCCTGCCCATGAAGGGATCTGCAGCAGTGTGAGCTGTGCAGGGCAGTCAGGAGCTGCCACAGCCCCATCCTGGGAGCTGGGAAGGCAAAAATGAGCTGCCACAACCCCAAACCCCACGAGTGACCCCAAACAACTCATGGCTCAGTCCAAAAAAATCCAAATAAACCCCTTGCTGCTGGCACAACAACCCAGCTGGGTTATTTTTAGCAGGTGGGGAATGGGTGAGGGGGCACATGAAGGGTGAAGCCTGTGGTGTAACTGGTGTAAATTTTGGGGTGTTTTTTTTTAGGACTGGGTGATTGCCCCACAGGGTTACTCAGCCTACTACTGCGAGGGGGAGTGCGCCTTTCCCCTGGACTCCTGCATGAATGCCACCAACCACGCCATCCTGCAGTCCCTGGTCAGTGCATCCTGGGAGGGGATACTGGGAGCACTGGGGGGAGTGGTTGGAGATGGGCGGGTCCCAATGGAGAGCTGGATTTGGAGCTGGATGTGCCTGTCTTTGAGAGCGTTTTGGTCAGAAGGTGCCATTTAGCTCCAGCTCCCAGTAAAGCACTGGTGGGTGGGTGGGTGCACGCTGGGATGGGTGCACCCTGTCAGCTGGTGGGCACGGGCAGCATGTCACCCCCACATCCTCCTCCCCAGCCACGCACGAGGGTTTCATCCCAGGTCCTACGATGCACCCAGACGTTGGGCTCAGCATATTCTAAGCAGGAAGGCTTTAATGCCCCCGTTTTTTTTCCCAAACCCACCCTGCATCCCAGCCAGTGCTTTAATTTCTGGAATTTCCTGCCCTGTGAGTGTTTGATTTCCCAATGGCAGAGTCACACCGGCTCCGGTGTTCGTGGTTAATTACAGGGAGTGCCGAGTCCTCGGCACAGCCTTTGAAGGTGTTGCCTGGCGGGGTTTAATTTTTGCATGGACAAAGCTGCCGTAGTCCCCATCCAGGGCTGGGCACGATGTGAGGAGGGGTCCCTTTCCTCCCTACACCCACCCATCACCCCTAAACCCAACGCTCTTAAACACAGCCTTTTGGGCAGGATGTGAATCACCTGGCGCCCAGATCCGGCTCTTCTGGGAAGTGCCGGGATAAATGCAGCTGGGGAGCGGTGCCAGTCCCGGTCGGTGCTGCAAATAGCAGGGTTTGACAGCAAAAACACCCAACTTCCGAGCTGGGAGAGCTCAGCTGCCTCTGCAAGAAATTAATCGCACATGTCGGGTAAAGCCGGCGAGGGCTGCGAGCGGACGGCAGCCTGTGAACCTCCCACTCCCAGCTCACCCCGTCCGGTGAATTCCTGGGATAACGTGTGTCCTGAGCGGGATGAAGGAGCTGAAGGAAAACTGTGTTCAGAAAGGGGGTTGTGTACTTAAGATTGTAGTGCAATATATTAAATTTGGGGTGGCGCTGAGTCCTGAAGGAAACTCTCTATTGCAACAGCACCCTCCACCCACACAGGAGTGAGATTCACACTGCTCTGATTGATTTTTTTTTTTTTAATTTAATTTTATTATAATTTTTTTTTTAGCCATTTGCCTATTTACAGGGAGAAAAGAGCCCAGAAATCCCAAATTAATGAAGGGGCTGCCTGGTGAGCGTGGTGCCACGCGCTCCGATCCAATATAAACTGCAGCAAGGGCTGCCCAGAGTTTAGAATAAATATTTTTGCAAAAAAGCTGGAAATAATCTCCCCATTCACTCAGGCTTTTTGCAGTTAAGAGCTGGTTTGATGCTTTTTCTTCTGCCTAGAGCCACTTTCATCAGCTTCATCCATCCCCCAGGTCCACCTGATGAAGCCCGAGGCCGTGCCCAAGGCTTGCTGTGCCCCCACGAAGCTCAGTGCCACCTCCGTCCTCTACTACGACAGCAACAACAACGTCATCCTCAAGAAGCATCGCAACATGGTGGTGAAATCATGTGGCTGCCACTGACAGCCAGGTCCTGTCCTCATCCCCATCCCCATCCCTGAATGTCCCATCCCATCCTCACCGGAGAAATGTGACATTGAGTTTCTGCTGTGTGTGGAAAAGGAGTTCCATGGGCTACATCATAGCAAAGTTCATTAAGAGTAAGAATAAGAATAAAAATAAGAATAAAGAATAAAGAATAAAAATAAGAATAAAGAATAAAAATAATTCCCTCCCACCCCTTCCTAGAAATAGATGTAAATAATATAAAACTTATTCTCTTACCACACTTAATGAGACACATACTATCTAAGAGTAAGAATAAGAGTAAGAATAAGAATAAAAATTAAGAATAAAGAATAAGAATAAATCCCTCCCACCCCTTCCTAGAAATGGATGTAAATAATATAAAACTTACTCTCTTACCACACTTAATGAGACACATACTATATATATATACATAGGGAAGAGAGGATTTGTGGCTGGTGGTGTGTTTTATTCGTGGCTGATGTGTTTTCCCCTCTGCTGCCGTCTCCAGTGTGAGGCTGGAGGGTAATTAGGACAAGGGAGGCGGCATCCGAGTTGCTCTGGGCTTGAACTGTTCCTAGCCATGTATGTCTTAACTAATCCACCTTTACCCAGTGCTTTTAATTCCCTTAATGAAAATACCATCAGCCAATTAACTAGCTGGCTGACTAACCCGCTCCTGTTTACTTAAAGTTCACAAAATTCAGCCAGATGGAAAAAAAATAAAATAAAATAAAAATATCCATATTGAGCTATGACACTGTTATAAAATAAACGCCTAGTTTGGAAAGTAAACACGTAGCTTCTCTCGCTTGTTTTTTAATAAATGTCAGGGCACAGCAGCGCTCTGTTCAGCAAACGGGATTTCGCAACAAAAAAAATACCTGGGATCGACTAAAATTGTACTTCTTTGCTTGAAAATGATGTTGTGATGTGAGGTTTAGGTCAGGCTACACTCACTGGAGGATGGTTCACGTGGGCTCAAAATGGAGCTGCAACCACACCACCCCCGGGCAGCTTCCCTGGGTTATTTGCACAATTAAGTTATGTATTTGCTCTGATTTTAAAATGAAATGGCCTGGCCTGTTTCTCAGCTCGGGTACCCGGGGAACTTTGCGTCACTAAACAAATAATGAACCTGGGTTAGCTAAATGCAAAGGAAAAATATTCCAATAAACCCAACAAAGTAAGAGAGATCTGCTCCCTGCCAGTGCCCAGCTTCCCGAGAAAAGGTCTTGTGTCTTCGGAAAGATTTTATCCGCCGACTAATTCCACATGAAATCCAGTTCAGGATGTGATCGCGGCTCCGTGCGACGTGGTGCCTCCTGCAGAGAGACAGCCCAGGACTCCCATCGACTCCATCAAGCAAGGGCTCTCCCTGGTTCATGTGTTCCTGAAGATTTCTGCAAGATTTGTCTTCAAAAATGTGTGAGTTAAACAACAAAAAGAAGGGAGCAAGGGGGGAAATGCTGGGTTGGTTTGTCTGTTTGTCAGGTATCACGTCTGAGTGTCCCTATCTCACCTTGTCCCAGTTGTAGGGCAACACACGACCCCCAAACAGTGTGGAAAACCAGCAAGTGAATAAAAACAACCCAGTGTTTATTATGGAAAAGCAACACCCCCGAGCTGTGAGCAGCTGGGCTGGCAAAGCCAAAAATTCCCAATTGCACAACCTCCTAAAAAACACCCCAGACCCTCCTCTCTGCCCTGGCAGCCCCATCCCTCCTGCCAACGCCTGCGAAGCTCAAAGCCTCACATCCCTCCCTCCCTCCCTCCAAACAGACATTCCCAGAATACCCAGTGCCACCATTCCATAGGAAACCCCAAATCAATCACTGCCCACCGCTGTGGTGATCTTCATGGTGCACAGCCAGAGCTACCCACTGACAGCAAATAGACATGTACGTGGCTGTCCCGCTCTGCAAACCAGGGTTTGGAAATTAAACCCCTTCCTACAGCCTCATCACTTCTTTCTTTTTACTTCTTCCATCACCCAAAGGTGTTCCTCATCTCCTGGTGCTTCTTGTCCAGACCTTCTTTTCCCACTAAAACATCCCAGTAAATGCCCTCACTCTGGATGGAGATGGAGTTGGACCAGGCTGGCTTCCCAGGAGGATGGACCTGCCTCCCTCTGCTGATGGAAAAGGACACTACAGAGGCAGCGACAGGCCAAAAACACCTCCAGGAGATCCTGCTTTGGAAAAAGCATGAGAGATTCAGCTCTGCTCTTCCTGCCCCAGCATGGGTAGCTTCCTCTGGAGCCAGGATTTCAGCACAGGAGTTGAGAAGATGAGGGCAAATGCAAAAAAAAAAACCCAAACCTTTGCTCAAAAGCAGACCCTCCTCACACAGTGAGAATTCAAGGGGTAGATCCTCAGTATTTTTAAAACTAGGGTTTTATTTTTACCAAATATAAAGCTTTTCTCAAACTCAGCAGCAGAACCAGCCCTGCCCAGCTCAGGGCAGCACAGGCTGAGAAGCGATTCATCCTCGGGTGGGTCAGACCCCTGCAGCACTGTGTCCACAGGCACATTCACACCAAGCTTTGCAGGGGAATTTCAACAGAAGCCACAGGACCTGGGCACTGCTGGGGGGTTGTCCAGGCTCACTCCTGTCCAGGCTCACCCCATCCAGGCCCTCCAAGAGCTGAGCTCACGGGCACTCCCCGCAGTCCGAGATAATCACCTTCTGCTTCGGTTTCCCGTCTTTGGTGCCCTGAGCCTTTG